GTTTTCAACTTAGCGGGTCAATTTTTACCTTGGGAGTAGATTGGGTTTTATACTGATATCCCCGACTGATATGCACTGACTTACAGATATCCTAGTGTGAGAAAATTGCGCTTCTCTGGAGAAAAACCACAACGCGAATAGTTCCACAACATCGGTCACCTTTGAAAATAGTTAGGTTGATTCCTACATCTTTGTTCCAGACCACACTGAATTGCTTTTAAAAAACATGAAGCAATTTACAAATGTGAAGAATGAATGACCACTAATTCTTAATAGATGTGCTCCTAATTGAAACTCAGTACATGCACGCCTACAAAATAGTTATCTCCCCAGAGGTCGGAGATAACAAGCCGTAAAGACTTTTAAGTATTATCTGTATGTTAATCGAATCCATGACAGGTTACTGAAATATCACTTTGGGGCGTTGAATCAAAATATTTTTCAAGAAAACATTACTTTGATAAAGCCCAGTCGAATATTCAAGCTTTCCATTATATCTTTCGGTAATGTATATGATAGAACGATGCTATCAATTTTAGAGTAGAGGCTGTGTTGTTTTTATAAGTACAAAAGACAGGAATGCTTAGATCATGCCAGAAATGTCGAAAGCCAACAGCAGACCTTGGCTTGCTTAATGCCTTTTCCTGCACGTTGTGAAAGACCTTTGTCCAGATCATGCGTGGATGCCAACCATTGTACGATGCCAATTTCCATAAAACGGCTCGTACTGAGAACTACTGCAGGAGTTAACAAATAAAATCGGACTACTTAGCGAGTCAAAAAACGATCTCTTATTTCACGATGCAAGAAAACAAAATACCGTATCGCACGAGGTTGAAGTGAAATCATGCCGAAATGGGCGGTATTATATAGTGTGCTGAAACTAATAGATAATCCTGTCATAATATCTGAAAAATAGTTAACCCCCCAGTTATCGGAAAAAGTGTCGTACAAAATAGGCGAGCGGGAGGCTTGAGGTCAGTTTTCACAGGCGAAGAGCAATATAACTTGTCTTACTCGTGGTTCTGTCTATCTGTTGGTTTGTTTGTTTTTTTTTTGCTGAAAATAACGGTTTTTATGACGGGCGATTCTTAAAGTTAGTTTAACGTTATAAAGGTGATCCCGC